GTTCTTGCTCAAACCTCTTGGATTCTTGTAACCACTTCCTTTTGAAATTTGGATGATACACTTGGATAGCACGAATTCCACTTCAATTAAGCCAGATCTTGATGGAAACTTGATCTATGATGGATGTAGATGATGATAGGATCAAGAATTGTGGAGAATGATGAAGATTTGATAGAGTTCTTATGTGATTTGCAAAGTGGAAGAATGAAATGTAACTATGTGTTTTGATCAAAATGAATCACCAACCCCTGAATTAAGCCACTCTACTCAATATATAGACACTCATAGAACACTCTAGAACTTGGTAGAACCTTCTTGTGCACAATTTCCTTGAATTTTGGCATGTGTAACTTCATACATAAGTAACCAATGGTATCTCTCAAACTTTGCCCTAAACTCAAAAATCTACTTTTGCCAATGTTCTTAAAACATTTTTTCCAATCAAAATGACCTATAATTTCATCCCATTTGGCCATGTTATGAAAAATCCCATTTTTAGGTCACTTTTATTCATTAAATTCACTTTTAATTGACCAAATTTGGAACCTTGAGCTATGAGCATTTACAAACTTTCATGATCACTTTTCTAGACTCAAAATGTCATTTGGAGCAAGTTTGATGTTGTGAAGTTTTTCATTTGAAGCTTCCTTGTATGAGTTTTGGGCATAGGCTTGAAATGACCTGTAATTCTCAAATGACCAAAATACCCTTTGCTTGCCAAGGTCATAAGTAGAGTTCCACAAATCCGATGAAGGCATACCATACCTTTCTAGAAATCTAAGACAATGAGTAACAACTCTTATGTTGACCAGAAATTCATTTTAAATCTCCTTGAGGGGTAAAAGTTGCTTGGAAGACAAGTAACTTTCACAGACAAAATTTCAGATACCTCAGATGACCTGTAACTTGCAAGGACCATAACTTGAGTTCTATAAATCTCCTTGATGTCTTCCACCACTCAAACTAAAGGTATTGAGATCATATACAAGTTTCATGTTGGCCAAGGATCCATTTGAAGCTTTCATTTTGAATTATCTTGCTGGGAAGTTTGCCCTAAACCAAGGGATTTTACACAGAAACCCTAATTTAGAAACTCCTCTTCTTCTTGATTTCTCTTGATTTCTCCTTGGCACAACACCACATCCATATCTACATGTCAAATGATGAACCCCACATCTCTCAAATAGACCTTGATGCCTTTCAATCAAACATTTGACCTAGGGTTGACCCAGGGTTGACCCAGATGAAACCCTAATTGACTGTCTTCAACTGCAGCTCTTGTGATCACATCAATGACTTGTCTCACTTTCAAAATGGCTCTATAGGTCCTCCATGATGTCTATGTACCATCCATGCTCAGTTCACAGCTCACAACTTCTTTGATGATCTTCAAATACACTCAAGATATGAGAGAGATCCACTGCTTGATCCACTGACTTCTCAGATTTCAATTTCTTTCTGATGACTTGACTAAGATTGAATTTGAACAGTAACCTCTTGATAGGCTCAGAGATAAGAATAGTGCTTGGTCCCTTATTGGATGACTTGCTATGCTATGCTATGCAGATGACTGGACTATGTACATGACTCTATATGCAAATGCTAATGCAATTGAAACATAAACCAAGTGAAGTAGGTTGAGCAAATTTTAGGGTGCAACACTGGGCCCTTAATTCTCTTATATTTTTGCTGCTGTACCCATGTACTGTAGTTAACCCCCCTCCCGTTTCTGCATATTTTTTGCTGGGCTGGGCCCAGTCTCTATTGCCTTTCTGCTGGATGTACCCCTCCTGGCTGAGCAGCAAACCCCCCTTCTATTTTTTCTATATTTCTTTACTTTCTTTTATTTTCTTTTGTTTAGAGATTTTAAAAAAGAGAAAAAAAGAATACTTGAGAAGAATATAAAAGAAGAAAATATGTAATATAGAAAAAGAATATAAAAGATAGAAAATATGGTTATATTAAATAATAGATTTTTAATATTTCCTTTTAGGATATTTTCTTTTTTTAGGATATAATTTCTTTTGGAGTTTATTTTGCACTTTTCTTTTAGAAATAGTTTTAAAAGTCCATTTGGTAGGGGGCTTCTTTTCTTTTAGAAGTAGAATTAAATGTCCACTTGTTAAGGGACTATTTTTCATTAGATTTTCCATATCAGTCAGATAGGATTTTTAGGAGTTTATTTTCCTGTACTCAATCGTTGTAATTTTTTTCGAATATTAATAAAACGAGATTGATGATGTGGTCTCCGTTCTACCCGTAGTTAGGCTGAACTACAGTTGCTCTGATTTCTTGTACCAGACAAGAATATGTAGGCATAGAATGCGACATCCTAGCGAGCACACTAACAACTAACGTTTTGTTCTCCTCGCTGCTGTGCGATCGAGACTTTCCCGCTGACGACTGATGTTATCCTTTTCTCTTGCCCGAGTGCATTCGAGACCAGACCGTAGTTCTAGTTCCCGTAGGTTCCCATACCTTTCAACCCGACATACTACGTCTGTTCTACCGCAAACAAGTACGCCTAAGTCTCCAATGGTCGAGCAGCGTCCACCTAACTGCTAGAATGCGTACGCTAGTATCGTCAAACTTAATCTCTCACCCCCGTGTGACCGAGAACACCCTTGTCTAGCCGTAGTTAGCCTGAACTACGTCATGCTCTGATTTCTCTGATGAGAATACGTAGGCCCAAGACGCGACGTCTTGCCGAGCACCTAACCCGTAGTTTCCCGAACTACGCAGACTCTGATTTCTCGTTCTCTATTGAGAATACGTAGGCATAGAGTGCGACGCTCTATCGAGTCAATTTCTTCCCGTTTAGATTTAGCAACCGTAGATAGATTGTTTTTCACCCGTCCAAGTAAACACACAAGCGAGGATCCCGTCGAGTACGACGGACGTGAGGGGTGCTAATACCTTCCCCTTGCGTAACCGACTCCCGAATCCAGACAATGGTTACGATGACCTTGTCTTACCCTTTTTCGTCAGGTTTCTACGATCGTTTCCTTTCCCGCTCTGAGGGATAAATAACGAAAGGTGGCGACTCTTCGGTTGTGCCGGTACCTTATTTTCGCGCAAGCGACACCTTGTAACACCCAACCACAAACATTTAACACCCCTTAACAAATACTTAATACCCAACCATAAATATTTAACACCTCACAACAAATATTTAACACCCAACAACAAACATTTAACACCCAACAACTTTTCAACCCAACACAACAACCTTATACCCCAAGCCAACACTACCATCAACCTTACCTATCATTTAACACAACCCCCTTCATCCAACAACAAAACCCAACCTCTTCATACATCTAATATAACCAATACTCATCTCAACCTACCTCACAAGAACACAGCTACCAAACACCCCAACCACAAGTCCCTTTTTACTCCTTACAAACCTTCACCCTTAATTCATCTCAAGACCAACATCCATACACCCCCTACATGACTAACATAATGCCACCTTCGAACCTACCAAATTGGAGTAATGAGGGAACAAGATTAAGTTATGGCAATGCGACGACGATACCAACTATGGACGATTTGAGTGATGATATGGTTGTTGAATTCATGAACCCTAGTAATGATGCAGGATCTCTACTCAGCCCCCAAACATTAATGTTGATCGTAGAAGGTCCACCAGAAATGTACAGGCTCCTTCCTGTGGAGTCCACCAACGCTTACGTCGACCGGGTCAAAATTAAGGGTAGATAGAGATTTAATGTACTTTTTTAATTTCATGAATAAATAAATATTTATTTCAATTCATTTTTTATTACTATTTTATTTTTTTATTATATATAATATTATTAATTATTACTATTATCCATTTCATAATTATTATTTATAATTTAATAATTATTATTATTTTTCATAATTATTATTTATAATTCATAATTATTATTCATAATTTTATATTCATTATTTATTATTATTATTATTATTATTCATAATTTAATTTAGTTTTAATTAAAACATTACTTTTATAAATAAAAATAATTAATTAAAACTTAATGGAACAAATAAATATAATTAAAAAAACAATAAAAATTACGTGCCACTGCCTCCCATTGAAAGGGCGACACCTTTTTTAATTTCACTCTTTCGCCCATTAAAAGAGCGGCTACGTTGCACCAAAAATTAAATTTTTTTGAAAGTATGGCAATCTGGTATTTTTTTGAGACTTATGGTATTATAGAAATTTCTTTCCAATATTATGGCAGGATTGATGATATATGCGTGTACAGGGGTGGCCTGAAATTGTATGGTATTATTGTTTTATATTTATCTGACAGATGTTTGCGTCAATTTGGATACATTCAATACATACCACTTCTGCCTCTTGATGTTAACACACTTGATATGGATATTGAGTGGGTTACATATCATGCAAGTGTGATGGAAGTGATCCGTCTATCCAAGTTTGTAGATACTCCATATGATGTGGTGCGCGATTACATGGGTTGGTATTACAGGGTATCACATCCTTGTTTGGTACCACCACCTCAGGGGGAGGTCAGACAGGTCCTAGTTGGTGAGGTCAGATAGGCTCTGGTTCCTCTCTATGATGAAGGACCATCAGGATCCTAGGTTATTACATATTTCACATGAGCTTTGTCGCTATCTACAGCGTCACGAGGTGGAAGAGGATGATGATGATTGTGTTGAGGTCTTTCGAGCACTTCGTATAGCTCAGGGTTGACCGGTACATTATGTTAGTGATGATGATTGATGTATTGATTACTATTCAGACTTATGTAGTGTTTCTAAAATGTATGTTGTATTCTTCAGAGTTACATAATATTATTCAAAATATAATACTCCTTATGTAGTATACTTTTCTAACACACCACGTATTAAATATAACACGAATCAAATGTCAAAACAAACCAAAATATAAAAATCACATTCTAACTATAATCTAACATATTTTGACACCACAGACGTAAGTTGCTGTAATGTTGTAACCGTCCATGAAATTCTGTCATCTAAGAAGTTGCGTCTGATGTGCGATACTTCTTCCAATACAATGTAACTGGTGGCAAAGGAAATCCTTCGTTCATGTTTACCTATTAAGAAAAATTAGTAAGACATAAACAAAAGATAATTAATTAACATAACAAACATGAATATTTACCTGGACCCAATGATTTTGGTTTACAAAACCAATGCAGTAAATGGGCACATTAGGTGAATGTGAAGTCATCATAGGAAATAAACTCAAACTAGGATAACCCAAAGAGACTAGAATGACATTATACTGTTTTGCTATCATATAACCCATATCTGGTAATGTCATCCATTTATCTAATGGTTGAGTACCTAAAGACGATATCATCAAGGAGTCTCTCACTTTCGATAAGCGACTTCCAAGTAAATTCTCATATAGACTGATTCTAGAACCTCTAATTTAATTATCCAAATCACGACGAACCATTGACCAACCATCCTCACCATATCCATGCAATGATACAATCGCTCTATACCCACAGTTTTCATCACTCTTAACATCAACAATGTCATCAATAAATGGTCTGATATGCTCTAGAAATTGTACAATGTACCTATTAGATGGTTTCTTCTTTAACGTTTGGGATAACTGTGAACACGGTTTATTTGAAGATTTTTGAGAACTACTGTATGCTTGATCAACATACTCATGATATGAAGGATCATGATAAACATCATATCCCACGGGTTTCTTCCCTTTTCTCTTCACTCCTCCTTTGGTCTTTATTTTTTCAGGCGGTGGTACCATATTTTTTGTAGTGGGCTAAGCAATTTCACACACTCTACTTTTTAGTGCTCTTTTTCCTACCATATATAATGATCGTAACCTTTTCCACAATGCATCAATTGCATTGGTCATGTTCACCTTGCTTCATCCTCTGTATCTACTTCTTGTTTACCTTCCATGCTGAGCTTCGTCCAGTGTATATAAATAACATCAATTGGTATTGGTTCACCACTCAATGTGTATCTCCCTAACTCACAAGTACAAGGTAACCCGTATACTTTTCTATGACTACACCCACACATTTGGGTGTTTGTATCAACCATGTCACCCTTGTGCCACTTGATAACATGAAAACGTATCGTGTTTTTAGGCTCATAACGCATGTTATTTCTTGTTATTTTACTTTTTTTTATTGCTTTTACATTGTGTCTTATTTGTTTTACATGTCTTAAATAAGTGTCAGAGCAATTTCACGAAGAATTCGAAAAGGGAGTAGAAGAGCAGCAAAAGAGCAAACAAATGCCCTTTCTGGTGCTGGTGTCCACCGTGTTCCATGTCCATGTCATTTATTGAAGCACACAATGGCATTCACCATTGTTCTAAGGAATTCGCCATTCTTATGCAGAAACAGAAAACCGTGAAGTCAATTTAGACTCCCTCTGCCCACTTCCCTTTTTCTTCTCAACTTCCCTGCATGTTTGAGGGAGTTACCAAACCATTTGGGCATCTATATATAGCAGTTTCCTTCACATTTCAGGGCATCCAAGTCATGCGGAAGCGCTGTCAACTTGCTTTCTAGTCTTAGGCAGAAAAATACTTGTAAAAGTGCCAATCACTCACGTCAAGGGATTGTCACACAAACTTGTTATTTTTATTTCTTTGTACTCTTAGATCAAGCAACAAGCCTGCTGATATTTTAATCAAGTTTTACGTTCGTTAATTCAAAAGTTTCGCTTTGTTTCTACTTTATAGGTTTTTAATCGCTTTAATTTACTTATTGTCGTATTGCTTTATTCTTATTTATGACATGTTGTTCCTAAATCTAAATACTTCTTTTATGTTGTTTTCATATGAAATAATGTCTTGCTAAACTTGTCTGAGTCCGGCGTATGAGGACCGTCGTTACCGGCGGGACTCGGTAGAAAATAATAGCCGCGAAACATTAAATAAATTCTATTTTGGTTTTAGTTTCCAAGTGTATGTCTTAATGTTTTGTCACGAGAATGAAAAGCAAACTAAGGTTTGAGCCGATAGTGCGAGAGTGTGAGGATCGAATCGAATAGTTGGAAACTAGGCATCAATTCTAAAAATAATGAGAGTGCTTTAGGTATCGATTAGGATCTAATTGATTTTCAAAATATGCTTTCTAATTAAAATGGGCGAGCGGGAGCAAAATCTCATGGTTAGTGAGTGTGGCTTTAGTCAATAGCGCGAACGTGTGAGATGGAGTCTTTAAACCGATATTTTCTATGGAATGTAGTTTAATTATAATTAGTGCCTAAAAATCTACAGGGTCCCTTTGGAACACAGAATCCATATTCCGACCTCTTTTTATGATAATTTCCAAACCTTTAGTAAATTATGTTTTTAGTCCCGTCTAAATCTTTTTAACCTTTAGCCTTAGATTTACATAGCATCAATCGATAACGGTAGATTGATTATTAGTCCTTGTGCGTTCGATATCTTTTAAAACTACTCAATAGACTATATACTTGCAGTTAGATCATCCGATAGACTCGTAAGGTCGCGATCAAGTTTTTGGTGTCGTTGTCAAGGACTAATTTAATCAATATTGTGATTCTGTTGTTATGTAGAATAGACTAAGGCAATAATTTTCCTTTTTACTTCGTCGATTGTATGCCAAACACTCGCTCTTAAGGAGAACAGTTAGAGTAGCCGATTGATGATATCGAGTATTTTATTAATTTAAGACGCTAATTCAATGAATTTCGGATTAAATACAATCTTCCTGAACCTAAATTCCTTTTCCAGAACTAAGAATTCCCATGGCTGAAAATCCACCAAACCGTCATCTCAAGGACTATGTTGTTTCATCGCAAGATGAATCTCATAATAGCATTACTTCCCCTACCATCAATCGGAACGATTTCGAGCTAAAACCTTTATTGTTACAAGTCGTTCAATAGAACCAGTTTTCTGGGAGTCCTATAGACGACCCGAACCTTCATTTATTGATGTTTGTGCAATACGCTAACACCCTAAAAGCGAATGGTGTTAGTAACAAATCCATAAGACTACGTCTTTTTCCTTTCTCTTTAAGATATAGAGCTAGAGTTTGGCTCCAGTCTCTACCATCCAACTTCATCACCATGTGGGACAAGTTGAAGAAAGTCTTAACTCGATATTTTCCACCTAGTAAAACTGCTATGTTAAGAGCCCAAATCAACAGATTTAGGCAAAAAGAGAATGAAACTTTTTTCGATGTTTGGAAAAGATACAAGGACATGCTAAGGCTCTGTCCACATCATGGACTTGAATAATGGTTAATAATCCATACCTTCTACAATGATCTTCTATACAACACCAAGCTGAAATGAACGCTGCAGCTGGTGTTGCACCCTAAAATTTGACCAACCGATTCTCCTATCTGACTCGTGGTTTAAATTCATATTCGCAAATCAGACGCATGATATTTGTGCACAGACAGAGGATATCAGGGTTACAGCTTGATTTTCGTCTATCAGATATGGCAGATCCAGTCCAGATCACCAGGGTTTATTTTCGGGAAATTGTGCGCTCCTCGGTGATTTTTAGCTTGCATAGTGATTTTGGGATATTCTGATGCCCGGGGTTCTCTGTTCGATTCGATCTGGTCTCGTGCGCTCTTTTATGGTGGTCATTTGCATTTGTCTGCATTTTTAGGGTTTTAATAGACTTTTGTGGATTTTTAATAGGCTTTATAGATTTTTCTGGAATTTAAATAGGTTTTTGTATTTTTTGATAGCTTAAATCTCTTTTTAGAATTTTATATAGATTTTTAAATAGGTTTAATAGTTTTTAATCTTTTTTTTAGAATATAAAAGAATTTAAATAGTTTTAATTGTTTTAGATAATATAGAAAATATTATAGATTTTTTTTTAGGTTAATGGAGGTTTAATAGTTTTAAATAGAAATAGATGGAATTTGTTTAATATAGTTTTCCTTTTCAAATAGATATTAAATAATAAATAGAAATTAAACAGAATTTTGTAGAGTTTTATTAGTGCTAGTTAATATAGGTTTAATTAGTTTTTTTAATCTTTTTAGAGTTGATTAGGGTAATTAGCTAATTAGGTGTTAATTGATTTTAATTAGATATAATTAGGTTTAATTGTTTTTAATTCAATTTTTGTACAGGTTTTGTCCAGTTTTTTCGTGGGCCCAGGAGGGGATTTTCGGAGGCCCACATCCTTCATTATCAGTCCAATGCATTTTTTTGTGCAGTTTTTGGCCAGGAGTGTGACACTTGTCACTATAAGAAGGCCCCACGCGTAACACAGAAAGGACCCCACCTCACACCATTCAGAAACGCTCACACTCTCACACGCGTCCCACTCAGACTATCTCTCTCTCTCTCCCTAAGCCACGTGCCACGCATGCAGTAACCCTCTGCGCCACTTGTCGTCACCACAGATTTCACCGGAGCCTCGCCAGAAAGTACACCGGCGGCCATGCATCCGCCCTGATCCTCCCACCGCCGGTCACCCCAACGTCTTCCGGCCACCGCAACAGCTCGCCGGAGTTCGTTTTCCACCCAGAATTCCCAGAAACACTCCTTCTTCATCTCCTTCCTCCTTCCACCTTCGTCTTCACCTCGCCGGAAAACTCATACTCACCGGAAACTTCATACACTTTTTCCAGAACACGTTCATCCATCTTCATCATTCTTCGAGAAGTTTTCCAGAACCTTCAAACAACTTTTCCAGAAATCACTCAAACCTTCATACAACTTTTCCAGAAACCCCTCCAAGCTTCATCGTAACGTCTTCGTTCATCATCATCATCAAGAACCTCGTGGATCCGTCAACAACCTTCAACAACGATCACCTAATATTTCCCCAGATCTGTACAAGATTCGTCAGTTCCAAGACTTGTAAAGATCTCATCGCTGTTCATCACTACGGGTTGTTCTTCGCGTCATCAAATCTTCAGCAAATATCCAGAAATCTTCAAGGATCGCTGTAAGCTCGTTTGAGGTTCTTCGAAGATCCATCGTTCTCCTCGCGTAAACCCAGGTTTGTCCCTCTTCGTCATATCTCCATTGCCATTGATGAAAGTAGCCTCGATTAGGATAAACTGATTGGTTAGGGATTAATAGTATAGGGTGATTTTGTTTGTTCTTGTGTGATGATGGCCGTGAGGGTGAATGGATTGAGAGTTCTTGAGAAGGAGATGAGAGTTTCAGATAGGGTGAGGAAGATGAGAGAAGACGACGGCTAGGTTAACGTGAACAGTGATCTGTGTTGAGAGGAGAAATTAGGTTTTGTTGATTAGGGTTTCTGGTTAGGGTTTGGGCTGGGTTCAAAGCCCAAACGTGTGTTACTGATGCACTCCCTGCGTCACTCATTCCCCTCCCCCTGTGTGAGAAGCCAGAATGAAT